TGCTACATTTTGAAGGGGATTGAATTCTTCCCCTTTTCCCCGTGCTTCCAAAAATATCCCTGTGGGTGGGAGTGTAAAAAATTATGGAGAAAAGCTATTTACAAAACCTTCAATAATTGAATCATGGAATGTACCTTCAATCCATATTGGAATTATACCAGGTGAAGTAATTAGAGCGGGGAGAAAGATTTTGATACTGCCTTATTAGAAAATTTGCCTATAAAATTTGATTATGAGGCAACCGAATGTCAGAAAATAAAGAGAGAAGGCTGTTTTATTACTTTAGCTGTTTTTTTGCATCATGCCTTGAATGCAGCTCATTTTCGAAGAGAAATATAAGACAATTACTCTTCTTAACGAATAAAAAATACTCTTCTTAACGAATGAAAAATACATTGGATAACGAAGGGTCTGTTTTGCTAGAGAACGGCCAACTAGGCCACATTAGTTATCGAAGGTTGCTTTTCCAATCATTTTCGAATTGTTAACCAACCCGAATGTTTATTGGGTAAAAACGATCTTAGAAGTAGAAAGATCGAAGAAAAATATAACAAAAATCGAAGAAAAAGATAACAGATCGTAGAAGTATAGGTTTAAAAATTTAAAAATTGTTTGGTCGGAGTTGTAATAGCACTTAGACTTTATATGCCAACGTGTGACTTCTGTCCAGGATTATTTATAGACAAAATAAGAATGGATGAAGTTCAATTCACATTTGCTACTAATGACAGATTGGCGCTTAGAAAAAACTACTTATTTTCTTTGGTTTTTTTTTTGTTGTTAGTCGGAGATTGGGCTCTAACGTTTAAAGTATTTTGTTGCCTAAATAAAAAAAAATTTTTTCGAAATATCTATAAGAATAATGAACTCCACAGGTTTTCTACCGATTTTCTACAATTTAGGTTTTATAGTAAGATGATAATTTATTTTAATTACAATATATCCCATTATTATATAAGAGAATTTAAGTTATTTTTTTGCATCACATTTCGTAAATTTTCTATTTGTTAATAGCCATGACGTCTTACTTCAGTGGACCCGCTGCGCCTATGCTGCCACCAAGAATTTTTAAAGCTGATAGGCCATTCGTATTTTTAATAAAAAATAGAAGGAATTCTCTATTATTTGCTGGACAAAAATCAAATCAATATTGAGGGAAGGGATGCTAATGACCTTCGAATATATTCAAAAAAAAAAATCCAAAAACACATAAATTTAAATTAAAATACATACTTACGTAAAAAACATTTTAAATGTACATATATAAATTATATAATAAATTGCATACAATATTTCGTATCTAATGAATAATATATTCACATTTTATTATTAATAAATAAATTTACATGTTAAATGGAAAGGTATTTTTATACATAATATGTATGTATATGTATGCAAATAATATTTTGTTTTAATTTCTAATCCTTTTTAGCAAATAAGATACAGCAGCTGAATAACATTAAATCATGATAACATATGTACATTAGGGTGGTTTAAAAATGCATGTGAAAAGGTAAAGTCAGAAAGTTTATGCTCTCATCCCCTAGGATTGTTCTATACCGAAAAAAATATACCCCTATTTTTATTTTGAATTAAAAAAATATTTAGAGGTCGCTCAAAGCGCTTAATGTTTTCCCTTTAATTTATATAGAAAAGAAACAACTTTTCGTTGAAATGGTATAGACTCTGTTTCTCTTCAGGAAATTCCCAATAATATCCACTTCTTTAATTAACAATTTTTTCATAGTAGCTATATTTTTTGGGCCCCCAAAAACCCCCCCAGAAAGTATAATGGGGAGATATGTAAGTAAAAAATCTTTAGTATTAAAAAATCGAAAAATATTGATTTTCAAGAATTCCATACAATTTGTACGAAAGGATGTTTTTCCCCATATAAAATATATGGAAAACTTTGAGCGATCTCTAAATATTTTTTTATTTCAAAATAATAAATTTTGGCATATTTTTTCGACATAGAACATTCCTAGGGTGTGAGAGCATTATTATTCCGACTTTACTTATTTTGGACCACCCTAATGTACATATGTAAAACTGCATCTTATCTCCATCAAAAAAGTGGCATTTAGGTTCTTTTGCTGTGGTGACGATCATACATATTTATTGACAGCCTAAAAGTATTCTAACATAAATTTACTAATAACTACATATGGATGTAACATTCAATAACGGGATGCATAAACGCATTGCATACATACATATGTACACATTGTTACATACATACATTGGTATGAAGGTGGGCATATCCTTCCATTCGGGGGGCCATTCCATTAATGATTAAAAACATTTAAATCTAAACCAAAATTTGCTCTTAAACATTTCAGTTTGGCGAATAATGCCCGTGAGTGGGTTCAGACGTAAGCGTTTCATTGCTGACCGCCCCTATGTGTACATCATACGTTCCAGGAAGCATGGAATTGTTTTTATGGGACAATTCGCTAACAACTAAAACTTGAGTTTATGGCGTGCCTTACAGATTCAATAGAACTCATTACTGTAAATATTCGGAAAGTTTAATAAATATTTTAAAACTAAAAAAAAAAAATTAGCTATGTGATTTTAATTCATTCCTTCAATTGAAATATAGACGTCTTACCTAGGTAAGTATGTATGTTATTGAGATCAATTACTTTAAATATTTACAATAGTATATTTCTTTTAATTTAAAGTTTAAATTACATATTTTACGGTGAATTTACAGTTTTTGAAAATTCTATTCAAAAGATAAAGACGTTCATATAAGAGGCCGACCGATTAATCGACATCGGCATCGGCTACTATCGGCCAAAAGAAAAAAAATTGGCCGATTCTTTCTACGACGAATTTTAACAAATTTTCATCAAAATTTGAAACTGTTTAATCCAAGGCGGTTTAATCAGATTTTTTTGAGTACGCAGCTTTTTAAAGTTTAGTATAATAAAGTGCAAATTTTAAGTAGCTAGGACTTGCCGTTGATTTTTAGCAATTTTTTGTTTACGCATCTTCTTTCAAACAAAGGATGTTCGACAATTTTTTTGTATGAAGAAAATCAGCAACACCTTCCACAAAAAATTGCCAAAAATCAATGGTAAATCCTAGCTACATAAAATTTGCACTTCGTTAAAATAAAATTGAATGGGCTACAAAACTGCATACTCAGAATGTTTAAAGAAACAGTTTCAAATTTTTACTTACATGGTTTTTTTTAGATAATAGGGAATTTACATGGTTCAACTTTCACAGGCGATTAGTTGAATTAATTTGAAAGTTGAACGAAAGTAGGCAGCCGGCCAACTTCATTGAAAGCGATTAGTTTAAAGGCCGTTTAAACCAGGCGATTGTTGCTTTCAACTAAAAATCGCCTGAAAAATCGTCTAAATTTTACACACAAAAAAATTAATATATTCGCGAAATTATGGGCAAATTATAGTAAAACTGCGTACATAGTTTCGCTCTCTGATATCAGGATTTATTTTAAAATGACTTTAAAATTTCAAAAATTCGGTGAAATGTAGGTATCACATAGAAGAAAAAATTCTTTAGAATTATAGCAAAATAAATTTTTTGGTGCATAAGGACGAATGGGTATGGAAAATGTCCTTTACAAATTTTGTCCTTAAATATCCTTGAAAATTTGCAATATATTTTTTGAAAAAAAGTATTGTTTGAGGACTAATATGCGCACGACCTCATCATCGAATTTCGTCCTGCAACATTTATTAACTTAAAAAGATAAAATTTATGAAAAGCGCATTTTCAATACCTACTCGTCCATTTAAACCAAAAAATATTATTGTTTTTAAATTCCACAGAATTTTCTCTCATTTAGTGCCAATATTGTTATTCTACATTGCACTGATTTTTTACAATAATTTTTTTAATTAATCTTATCTTTAAAGTTTCAAAGTCCTTTGAAAAAATCCTGACGTCAGAGTCAAAAATTAAAAACGCAGTTCTTTCTTGAGTTTTGAATTTTTTTGTTTTTGTCGTACGGTGTTATTAGTTAATTTTTATTTTTTCGACCACAAATAATGATTATTTTATGATTTTTATTTTTTTTTTTGTTGCTTAGAAATAAAAATTATTATCGAGTTTTATTTTCCACTTAGAAAATGATTATCTAACTAAACTAATCCAACTAAATTGCCTAACTTCGACAATTTTTATGCAATTGCATTGGATGAGGTATCAATTTATTCGAAAATAAATGTTATTTTAGATAAGTTCCACATATTTGGCAACTTTCATAGAAATTTTTGAAATTAGAGATGATCAAAGTTCAAAAAATTAATAAAAAAAGGGCCTCATAAAAATGTAACCGATGAAAACTCCCAACAAGCTAAGTCTAACAATACATTGTTATACATCGTTTTAAAATGTATAAATCTTCTTTTCAAAACTTGTCTTATTTTTAACATGGAAAATAGTCAAGCTAATAATTGATAAGTGCAACAAGTACGAAAATATCGTTTTTTTTGTATAAAAAAATGGAGGGTTCAGGAACTATTTCATGTTGTACTCGACCATACCTACAACCTAAACTAGGTTTCGTTTCCAGTGTATTTCAGTTTTTTTTTTTTTTTTGTAGCACCGTGTAATTTTCTTTGAGCAAAAAAATAAAAAATAGTCTGCCTTATCCTGAGTTTCGCCTGAAAAAAAATATTCACCCGAAATTTTTTCACGCGCCCATAGTAAAACCATGGTAACCATAACTGGAAAGTGAACCGGTTCGGGGAAAATTAAACTCATGAAAAGGCTGAATGATTATTTTCCGTCCTTGATCACTACTTAACCTGAGGAGGCAAGACAGCCGCATTATAACTGGAGTTCTTACCCGCGCTTGTCTTATTGAATTAACTTTCGTAGCTGTTGAAGCAAATGCTGATGAGACTAATCATTTGAAACATAGCATTAGGGTTCAGTGTAAACATATTAGCATAAATAAATCAAAATTTTATCACTCAAAATAGAATGGAAGTGAACAGACTCGCGATGCAACCCTGCCCAATGGCAAATGACATAAATGTCACAATCGACACTTTTCTCAACTCCTTTCTTTTTCCGCTCAACTGTCAAAACCGAGGTACGGAAATTATAAAAATTTCGTGTAATAATCTTACTAAATCCAAAAAATTGTGATCAGAAATATTACAACCAAGTGATATATTCCACAAGAATACTCTATTTTATGTGTTTTAATTATTATTTTGCTTTTTCTTCAATTTCATGCTCTGCTAACAAAACTTTGTGGCCATGAATTTAATTGGATTTGTTGCCACCGCTCCATCATACTCGTTCGACTAAATAAAAATGGACTACTTGATGTTGGTGCACAGGTTTATTAGCACATAATGGCCAAGTCTAAGAATCACACAAATCATAATCAAAACAGGAAAGCCCATCGGAATGGCATCAAGCGCCCAATCCGCAAACGCCATGAATCCACTCTGGGTGTAAGTTCAGAATGTGTACAATATTTCAATAAGCGCCTTGTTTAAATAATTTCCTTGCTAATTTACAGATGGACGTTAAATTCCTAATAAACCAGCGTTATGCGCGCAAAGGTAATCTGTCTCGTGCCGAAGCCAACAAACGCTACGAAGAGCGCGTGGCAGCCCAAGCTGGCAAACCAAAACCCATTAAGCTATAAATGTCGCAAATTCTCAAGTGTTGGGAAATTTAGGTATACAATGGGTTTAAAAACGGGTGAAAATAAACTTTTTTCTAAATATTTGGTGGTTTATTCTTTGTACAAAAATATTCAGTAGTAAACACTTAGTACTTTGTGGAATGGTATGTGTTCTAACTCGTCTGCATGTTTGCGCCGATAGTCCCACAAGAAGTGATCAATTAATATGGAGTTAATGTACTCCTTATTAAGTTCAATTTCCTTGCGATGCAACTTTTTCAAAATTTCGCCTTTTACTTGCTCAACAATGTAGATGGAGGCCCCGCGAATCTCCACCTCGCGGGGGTCACCATTCTCTAGAATTGTGTCTTTGCTCAACAGGTCAAGCAGCTCTGGTTTGTATTCCAAGCTACCAAAATGTATAAGCACCTGCGGTACACGATAATCTGCAAACATGGTTATTTTTTCAAGGTCATTAAAAGCTCCTAGTTCCTTGCCGTGAAAGCAGGACCATATATCTCCAATTAATATTTGCGCACGCTTGTACAATGAGACCCGCTTTCCCTCATAATCAGCCTCGTCGCGAAAGCATGGAAATTCAGTGACTATAAGCTCTAATAAACGAGCGGCAGAATTTTTCGCTGCGCGTACCACATTCTCAAACTTGCCTTGCCAATTTTCCATCAAACGCTTGCCGACTTCTTGCAAGCAAACGATGCGTTTTTCAAAAAGCGGGACTGTGGTTTGGCCATCATCTGAACGGAAAACGTGACGCAATGTTTCAGAGTCAATTTTTGAATAGAACGCAGAGTTGGTGATGTCTATGCCCTCAGCTATAGCGCGATTTATAGCAGCACAGAGGGCAAAGTAGCCGGTATAACCGTTTACCTTGTATTTAGTGTAATCAGCTGTGGAACAAACGCAAGATTTCAACATGCATAAATCAATTTCAGCGAAAACTTGTTTATCACTTACTGGGCGTCCAGAAACAGAAGTTTAGGGTGTCAACTACAAAGATCCATTCTGCGGCATGGGGATCGTTAGCTTTTGGATGAATATCATTTTGGGAGAAATTTTTCGGATCAAGTTCCCCCGACTGGATGCGACAAATAACTTCCTTTGCAAGTTTGTCGATTCCGTCCGGCTGTACGGTCAAGTATTTTGCGTTTTTGACGATATATTCGCCAGATTCGCGTGGATTTAGTGTCATTACTTATGTATGTATCTATTTGCACTACTTCACAACTTTTAATTTGAATGCAGCAATAAACTGCGATAACTTCTTCTAAGAGTGAGTTCAAACCCAAGATGCATTTACTGTACTTACCAGCTGCATGATTAATAAATTGTTTGTTTTTTATTGTTCAATTTTTTTAAACCGCATACGTTTTTTTTTGTTGTGAAAAATTAAAACAAAACAAACGATAGGAGCGAACATGTAGATTTGTTTTAAGGCCCTGCCACACGCTCAGTATTTATAGACGTGATCGAAGTATCGCAATATTTATTGACGGTGTAGCATGCCATCCATTTGAGAAGACAGTAACTAGTCGTCTCCACAGGATAAAATTTATTGCTGTCCAGCTAGTATTTTGTAGCTTGATATAAGTTATATCAGTGGCAATATTTGAGTGGGCTTTTTATATTTTGATATAAGCATTTGTAAGATGGCTTCTAAAAGGTATTTTGCCCGGATTTAATCGCTTAAAAATTTGGAAATTGACTATTTTACATCCAAGTACATAATAACAAATATCTTAATAGAAAACAGCTCAATTTTTGCTTTTATATTAAAATATCAATAATGTTGCCGCCGCGAATTCTTCATGCATATGCAATGAAGCTGTCAAACCAAAGAAGGTAAATCTTTATTTCTATCATCGATCACTCTGTCTTCAACATCCTTTGTCGCCGCGAAATCAAGTTTGCGGCGAATTCATTTACGAAACTTGATGTCAAAACGGACACGAATTCCTCTTGATTCGCTGATTTCACGGCGAATTTGTATCGTTTGTCAAAATCACGTGTTTGTTGCAATTTGGCTTTGTACTGATTGTCAAGGAGCGTATAATTTGTTATAATTTTTGTTTTTGTTCTGTTAACACCACCTTGTATAAATTCGCCTTGCAAACCTTCTAGACTCACTCGCCACACTTCAGCGAGTTGTCCCTTCTTATAGATTTACGTTCTTTGGTAAGGAGTGGTGGGAAGCGCTCCCTTCCTGCAATCAACAACTTATGTTTTGCCAAAGAAGGTAAATTTATAAGGACAACACGTTACATAGATTTACGTTCTTTGGTTTTGCTAAAATAATTACCAATCTGTTTTCGGTACATTTATTTGTATTTGAGTATACAAGTTTTTCACTGGCTAGGTACAATCAGCACATTTTGATTTCCATCCCTGATGACAGCAGAGTAAATTTCGACCAGTTGCCAACACTCGCTTGTGTCTTGAAAAAAAAGAGCAAAAATTGGAATTGTTTGCGCTGTGTAATTACACATTTGCAATAAGTAATTTTAATTAATTTGCTAGTAATTATTTACAAAATTGAATTGCTTGGGTGGTAGGTACATAAATGTCATGATATATAAATGCAATCGAGGAGGATTATACCAAAAATTGCAAGGAAACCAGACGCATGAACTTGCGATTGTCAAAATTTTACATCCATAAATTTTTCCTCGGTTATACAAATGTGAAGGACTGTGCAGAAAAGATAGACCATGAAGTGATAAAATAAGTATTCCATTATTCAGATAAAATACATAAAAAAGTGCAAAAATTACAGAATTCAAGGACCATATAATTATGAAGTGAAGTTAATCTAATTCTCAAAATATTTAAATGTACATATCTTTCTATCGACGTCGTGCAAAGGAGCTACTAAAGTGAAAATAATAAATTGTAATCATAAATTGTCTAGAATGTAAATATAAAGCGATTGAATGTTCAAACAAAATTTGATTCCACCAATAGTTTAGCAAATTTTATTGTAAAGTGTGCACGAAGTACTCATTCAGCGTGCTGTGGTAGTAGGGAGACGTGCGTTTTCATGATTGTTGCAATTTCGGCATTTTAAGGTTGCTTTACGCAAAGTAGCAGCCAATTCATCGCATCAACACCTCGCTGCATCGGCGATCATCGAGAAGAGCCGTGGGAATAGTCGTGGTCATCAACGCACACCATCATCGTTTTCAATTATCTCTGCATTTTTTGTCTTATTCAAATTGCTGGTTTTGTTTTGGCACGGTGCACAGCGCACAGTGCTGCGAAGTGACTGCGTGAAACGGAGTATTCCTTTGCTGAAGTCCAAATTTGTATGACTGGCGCTGTCAAAGGTATGTAAGTGTCCAAATTTTTAAATGCCTATACACACATACTAGTTGCGTTCCAGCAGCAGTACGAATAGCAGGTTTTGCAGGATTTACAGGAACAGCTGTTTTCGCCATTTATAAATCTTATGTAAGGTGTCGTGCGGGAACAGCTTCCTGTAAATTCCTGCTTTCGTAATATTTTTCGAGCTAAATGTTTTTTGGTATTTTTATATATAAAACGCTGTAACCAAAATCACAGTTTCAAACTTAATACAAAATTTAGAAAAATTCAACAAATTTTCATCAAAGTTTCAACGTTTTATTCAGAATTCTTAGAAAATTTTTTGGTATGCAGTTTTATAGCCGTCCATACAATTTTAGTCCAATGAAGTGCAAGTTTCAAGCGGCTAAAAATCGCTTTGATTTTTGCGAATTTGTTTTCGTGACGAATTGTTGCACTTTTTTCATATAAGTATGAGTTTCTAATGAAATAAAACGCGGGAGACCGTTAGCAACAAAATATCGAAAAAGGAGCCTCCGAAAAAATCTCAAAAACGCGATTTTTTAGCCGTTTGAAACTTGCACTTCATTCGACTAGAATTGTATGGGCTATAAAACTGCATATCCAAAAATTTTCTAAAAATTGAGAATAAAAAGTTGAAGTTTTGATGAAAATTTGTTGAATTTACCTAAATTTTGTATAAAGTTAAACTGTGATTTACACGGTTTTGGTTAAAGCTTAGACGTTATTTTTATATAAAAAAATAAAAAATAAAAATAGCTGCAAAAATATTACGAATATTAAAAAAAAATACGTGGTCATTTGTTTATAAAAACGTACGATTTTTTCAGCATTCACAAACAAAAATTTTAATGGCATTGTGCAGGAAATTGAACATTTGTAGAGACAATCATAAGTAAACGATAAACCATATGAATGTTTATGTACACGATTAAATATCTTGTTTTACTAAAAGTACAATGCGGCCATATGCGGACGTTTGTTAGCAATAAAAAAAATATGGTGACATTATAGCTTTTCGGGGTGCTAATTGGATGGTCACAAAATACAGAAGAGAATGAACGCCTCTGAACTCATGACTACCAGCTAGCACATAAGTACATACATACATACTTATCACCGCTTTGTAAAAGATGCGGTTGTCTATTCAGTTTTGCAGTTACAAACGATTTCGCGATAAAACACTAACGACTTAAAGAATTGAATTTCTTAATATTTTGTTGATTTTATTTGTAAACTTAAAAGAATTATACAAACGAGGTTTTGGGTAAAGGTGAGTGAGCGCTTGGGTGTGATATTAACTGATCAATGTCGAACAAATGTCTTAAATCCTGCGATATTTTTGTATATTATTATTGATGCAGCACATACGTTTGTACAGTGGTTTTCAAAATAATAGCAGTAAAATTCTAAAAATAGGATTAAAAAATTTAAATGCAGTTTTATAGAATTTTTATATTTTTTGCACACAGTTAGAAATAAAATCTTAAATAGTTTTTGTTAGATAATGAGCTATAATTACATATAACTATAAAAAATAAAAAAAAATATTATAAACAGAAGACCAACAGGCAAAATTTGTAAAATGCGCGATTTATTCACATGGAATTGGCCATATAAGGCTAAATGTTTGACCAGCGACTGATTAGTACTACCGAAAAAATAAAGTCGATTGTTGGCAAATCTGTTTATAACTTTCTAATGGCTTGGCGAATATTTTAATTCGTCTTGTCTTTGAAAACCTTTTAAAATAACTAAGTTCAAACAACCGCTCTTTAATTCTGCGTTTTCTTATCCAATAAATACACAATTTTCGATTACCTTATCTGTCTTCTTTCGGACAGTTTCGACGCTGGTATTGTCAACTTGTCAACAAACATCATATAAATCCCCTTTTTAAACTTTTAACAAACATTATAAAAATTCGGCAAATTTTCACCAAATTTTCAAACTTTGTATTCAGAATTTTTAGAAAAATTTTTCGTATGCACTTTTTTAGCCCATTTAATTTTAGTTTAACAAAGTGTGCGCGACATTTTTTTTTTTATGGAAGAGAATGCCTAGCATCGCTAACAAAAATTTGTGAAAAATCAACGGTATTTACCAGCCGCTTGAAACTTACACTTTATTATACTAAAATTGAATGGGCTACAAATCTACATACCAAAACTTGTTTGATGGACTTGGGCGAGCCTAAAATATTGACCAAAAATTGTCCTCTTTCACAGACTGTTTTGTACTATAAAAGATCTATGATTTTTTTGTTTTTTCTCTTAATAAATGAAATGAAATGAAATAATGAACCATATTTTTGCAATTACTAATCAAAATTCTAAAAAAAAAGTCAATCCATCATTGCGTACATTGCTTTCGAGCGGCTACAATTTCAAGTATGTAGTCATTATTGTGGCTTAAAACTATAAGCTTCGGTCTGTCTAATAGCAAACAACATAACGATTGATAGGCCTTTCTCGTGCTACGCTCAATTTGGCTACGATAAGATTTCTGTGCACCAATTTCATTATCGCAAGTGTTCAAGGCGAGTACAGTATCCTTCCAAATAATCCGTAACGGAACTGTATATTAAAAGCACTTGACAGCATAAATAGAAACGTTTAAGTAAATTTAATGCAATATTATTTCTTTCTGAAAACACCGCATAATATCCAATATACACCACTGCTCTGGACGTTAATGTCAATCGTTTGTGTAAATTAATCGAAATCAATACATTCGTAAAGTACACTGGCGAACAAAAGTGGATAATAGTGTTTTGTTTTTAATATATTTAAAATGTTTTTCCAGCTAAATTTTTGTTTTATTATTTATTGATTTGGTTTAGATCCGGTCATTGGATCATGAAGAAATTATCAGTATTCTTAAATTTTTATATGAGAATTGAAGTCGGTTTTGGTTTTTGCTTAAAATGACTTGTTTTCATATAAATAGGTAAATTTAGGAAAACTGGCGTAGATTTTTTTCTTCTCAAACGGCCTTGAGCATTTTTTTCCATTTTCATATATATATATATATATATATATATATATATATATTTTTTTTTTTTTGTAATTTAAAGTTACTATATATATATTTATATGGAAAAAATTCAAAACGCCGTAAAAAAAATTAAAAATCAATGCGATTTGCCAGCCGCTCAAAACTTGCACTTATTTTACTAAACTTCTATAAGCCTTGTAACTGCATACAGGCCTGCCACTTTGGTAAATTGTTACCAAATTGAGTAGAAAAAATTTGGGTTGGTAAAAAGGTGAATTTTTTCTCATTTTGGTAGATTTTTGTTGAATTATTTTGTTTGTAACACAAATAAAACTTTTTGTACCCGCTTTATTTTTATAGTTATCTTTATATTACAAATTTCTTTCCAAACTTTCCAAAAGTGTAGTCCACTTTATCGCATTAATTTTCGAACGCTTTAATGCACACTTTTTATACACATACTTTTAAATGAAAATATATCGATAAAAGGTGAACATAACGTGCTCCATTCAAAACTCATTTTACTAAAATCCCGGGAAGGTCTTGATTGCCTAAATATTTTAAATTATTATTTAAATAAAAAGAAAAAAATTGACAGGTATGTATGTACTTACGCACTATTATTGTTCACAAAAAATAAAATTTAACTCAACGCTCAGAAATTTAACGAAAATTTTTGGAAGCGCAAACAATATTCTTATGAAAAAAAAAATACCAAAAATGTTTTAATTGAAGAAATTGTGAATATTAAAAAGAAAATACCAATCGTTTTGTCTATAATACTTCAGTTGAAATTTTTATTTAAATGATGCAGTTTCGTTGCTGGCCTTTAGTTTCATCACTTTCGCTTTGGTTGAATGAAACTGAGAATATGCCATTAATATGATCTCAAATACCGTATAATAAGTTAGATGAAAAGCTCCTTAAAAAGCAATTTTCGTTTTTATTGAAATAACAAAACTATAGTTTTTATTAAAATAGCTAAAAAAAATGTTGTTTTATTTAAAAAGAGTTATTGATAAATATTTTTTAGGTTTGGAAAATGCTTTTTCAAGTGGATGGAAAGTATTTGTTTCGTAAGTGGCAACCCTGACTGCATACCCAAAAATTTTATAA